TTAGAGAAATTATCTTAAGAAGTAAGAGGAATAATCTATTAGCCATAATTTTAGAAATAAGTTTGTTAAAAGTGGTGCACAATCTAATAGATCTAAAATTAATCCAACAATCAGGGTTATATTTTTGGGAATTAAAATAATAGAAGTAAAATTTAAAGCATTTGGGTATATGAAAGCTATAAAAAAAAAGCCAAAATAGCCTTATAAAGACCCTTCTTAATAATATTCTAGCACTTTGAAAGAAGGCAGTAGAAAAGCCATTACCAACAATAGAATCCTTATTCATAGACATCAAAACATGTAAAATTTCTTCCTCATCAAGATCCTTGAAAATAGAAAGATTTTCCATAGTAGAAATAGTAGAAGGAATAAGAAGAGGATTAGTTAAAGGAATGACTTGCTTCGAAGCAACAAATGAACAAATAAAATAAGAGATAATAGAATCAATAATTAATGAAGGATCATCACACCAACCACCAAAATCCAATTTGATCCTATTAGTCAGCTTTCTTAGAATTCATCGATGCTTGAAAATACTTAAAATTTCTATCACCTTCACCGATATGTTTAGAGGAAGCTTTTTGTTTCCAATAATCTTCTTCCATGATTTGGAGGTGAATTAAATTTTCCTTAACCAACACAATCTGATCCAAATCAATATTACCAATGGAAGTAGCAAATTGGATTTCAAGAAAAGACACCACATTTTTAGCTTTTATAACATTCTAAAAAATGTTGCCAAATTTGTGCTTATTCCACCATCTAAGATTTTGCTTCAACCTTTTATGTTTGAGAGTAAGCAAAATAATATCATTATCTACCTAAAAATACATTAAAGAAGCAGCCCAATTCTCCTTTACAATGTAAATAAAATCATTAGAATATAGCCACATGTTTTGGAAACAAAAAGGGCTCACCCACAAAAGCTATCATGAGAAAACTTAAGAAGAAGGGGAGAGTGATTGGACATAGTTCTACTGAGGTGTACAACCATAGATTTAGTGAAAAAAGAGAGCCAATCACAATTGAAAAGAAATCTATTAAGTGTTTCCCAAACTTTATTGTTGGACCAAGTAAAATTAGGACCCAAAAATCATATGTCAGTAAAACTCTATTCTAAAATCATATTACTAAAGTCGTCCATAGCATGCAAATTAGGAGGAGAACCCTCCACTTTTTTGTAGTGATAAGAGATGGTACTGAAAACACCTCCCACAAACTAGGGACCATTATAAGAATTAACAAGATTAGTAAAATTTCGCCACAAAGGGATTCTACCACTTTTGGTGCAACTAGCATAACCTATAGAGCAAATAGTAGGAATATTAAAAATAGAGAAGCTATAATGAATAACTTGACCAAAATCTCCAACAATAGAAATAATTCAAATTACTTCTAAAAAAATCCATATCTTACAAGATGAATTAGCAAATGACAAATCAAAACCAAATTTTTTTTTTTTTTAACAAGTAACATTTTTTTATGGATCAACCATAGGCTCCAAAAGAGCCAATAAATCAATATTATGAATACGACATAACTTATATATACGAATATGGGTGTTGAGATTGTCAACACCCCCAAAATTCCAAATTAAAGAACTAAACACTAACACCATTTTAAGAAGAAGCTATATATCTAGTAATCCTTACATCACTAGAAGGTGAATAATCTCCTTTCATTTCTTGTTTTTCTTCTTTTTCTTAACACGAACCCATTTTCCATCATCTTTAGAACCATTGAAAACATTGATATTACCCAATTTATCAATATCATTAAGAGAATACCCTTCATAATCATAATTAATCCCCCCTCTTCCAACTAATCATTGGATTGGCCATAAGGACAAACACTCTTTGAATCTTTGTTAGGTTCATCAGAGAGCAAATTCTTTCCATTCATATCATAAGCATGATCAGCAAAAGGATCATTTAAGGAATTATCAGGAGTTAAAATAGGTAAAACAATAGAAGGGTCCTTGTTGGACACATTTAAAGAAATTGAAGCATCACTAGCGGCATCTTCAGTGATAATCACATTATTGATCTCAAAGATATTACCCGTAAGAGGGATCACTAGGTTTGGGAAATTTTAGTAGAAAAGTTGATATTCTTAGAGGGATAAGGATGCACATTAATAGGGTTAATTATAGTAATAGTAACATTATTTGTGGTAACATGATGCTTATTAGGCTCAACAACAAGAACAAGAATATCTGCTTAGGCATGATTGGTTGGGTCTTATGAAAATTAAGATTCAAATGCTAAAACTCAGTTTTGATATAACACAAAGTTTTACAGTGATCACAAAAAATAATGAAATCATCATAACAACTTTTTGAACATATCCATAATTTTCAAGGCCTAACTAAATGGAGTTAGGGTACTATTTTGTGATGTCAAGCAGGACAAAAACTCTCGTAATAGAAGGCCTCGAGCCAACAGTAGTAGCTTTATGAACTTGCAAAGGACGCCCAAACAGGCTCCCCCAGCCATACATAATCCTTGGAGAGAAAAAAATGTGAACATAGCTCATGAAATGACATCCAAATAGGAATAATAGTATATTCAATCGATATATTGAAATAGGGGACCACTTGATCAACTCCATAAAATAGTTTCAATCATAGTAAGATTTATGGAAAAATCATCGCTATAACCAAAGTCATTTTTATGTTTAATCAACACATGACATAGGTCAAGTAAAGTAACCAAAATACCACCAGAGGGTTTTAGGTTAAAGAAAAATTGATGAATAAGGTCAAGTTTAGGTCTACGCATAATAAATTTTCTTACTAGTGCAAACTGAAATGGAGTAGCCATAGAAAGAACCTCCTCTTCCGATATCCATAAGGAAGTCATACCACAATGAGTGGTAGGCTTGAGATATGGAAAAGAGAAGGAAAATCCAGATTCAGAGATTACAACCTTGAAAAAACTAAGTTTTATTAATGGAGTTAAGAAATCCATGATAAAAAAGAGACACATGATTTGCTACTAAACTATTAGAGGGATCCCCCGATAGAGGAGCAGCCATCTAAATAAAACAATCATAACAACACGAGAAAGTGAAAACCACAAGATTAAGTAAAGAGAAACTTCACTGAAAGCTCCCATACAACAATCTGACTGTAGTTGCAGGATCTTACAATTGGAATGTCACGATCGGTAAGAATCGCCTAAAAACGATCGCTTGAGGAAGACTCGAGAAACCCTAGCAGAGCTAATAAAGATGAATTAATAGGAATAGTGATTATTTTGTTGTTATTAACATCAACTTGATCATCAAGTATTGTGGAGGATTTACCCACAAAATTAGGTTGATCTTGTGTAACAACATATTTTGCTTTTGCACAACAAAAGTCAATACCATGTAATTATTTTTATTATGATAAATTCAATCTCAGATGAAATTAATAGATGACTAAGGTAACATTTGATACAAAATAGAACTCTTTATTTGTGCATGAGTTGTAAGCTTGAGATGCAACAATATTAGGTAACATTTAATATTTTTAAAGGCTTCCTAAAATCTTTTCTCTCATTAAAATCTTCCTTTCTTATTGTTAAGCACAATAGATGGCTGACAACTTACAAATAAGTTGGCAATGAAACATCGTAAAAAAAAAAAAAATTAAAATAATCTCAATTAAGTGAGACTCCAATAATGTTTTATGTTGAGAAAAACTTTGATTGAGTGTCATTTTCTTCACAAATTGCTTGGTTTTAAGTAACCATTAAAGTTTCCATGTAATTAAGGCATGTGCAACAATATGGACACCAAAGCTTTGAAGCTTCAATGTAATCTATAACTTTTCTTATAGCTTGAATATAGCTCTACACCATCATATTTCTATAATTTTACAAATACATCTATCTAATTGAATAGTGATTCAATATTATATTGCTCATTTATTGGCACACCTATGAATACATAAACATTATAAGATTCAAGAATATCGATCATCTGTGATCATGATTTCATACAACTTATCTTGAGAAAACCCAACTCTTATCCATTAAATTCAAAAATGACATGGTTAAAAATTGAAGACTTATTAGCTAGTAGAATGAAATATATCTACATAGTATTGTTAAAGTATATATATTAAAACACATAGGAGAATGGAATTTCAAGACAATAAAATGAATAATTTTATGTTATACTATCATAAGAATCTTGAAAATAGTAATTATTTAATCCATTTCCTTGAAACTATATGATTTATAAGCAATATATGTACATAGATATCAACTAAAAACTACAGCTTCGTTTGAAACATAGCTTTCGTACTGCTTTATAAAATAGCTTTCTAGCACCAAAATTTTTTGAATTAGAAAATTTTATATTTAAAAATTATTTTGGAAATTAAGTAGTAAAAAAGCTGTCCCTAACGAAGCCTAAATCATAATATTAAAAGAGCATTTATACATTATGAACTCCAAATTGATGAGAATTAAAGTAATCATTTTTTTTAAATTTGGTTCTTCTTTTTTTTTATTTGAAAAAAATGCTTTTTGGCCACATTTCCCTTTCTTAGATATGTTACACATAATCATTATTACATTGGCTCATGTGAATGTGAAAGATAACTTATTCTAATAATTTTTATTATTATTGGAATTCAAGTAGATTTTTTTTTTTCTTTGGAGGGGAAAAATTGTGCTTAAAATTCACTACAAACCTCATCTATATATATATATATATATATAACTAAAATTAAATATTTATGTTGCACTGATTAATAAAATAATCCAAAGATTTAATGATTTAAAATTTAATTTAACTATATATTAAGAGAATTTAAGTAGAATTTTATTACAATAATTATCCAATAAATTTTTTTTTCTAAATCCTTCCTTAGAGATGGCAGCATTAGGCTTCAGTAGCCGTTGAGCTTAGTGCCATAATGCTGTAAGCATAGTGTCTTACGCATGAACAGAAAGCCTTGAACGAATTGGTGATGGTGACTGGTTTATGATCCATCCTTATCTCCGCCCTCTTTTTTCAAGCTAAGTTACCGTTGAAAGTACTCGACGACCAACTTTTTCTCTTCTGAATGAGTATTCCTTCAGATGTTGAAGGCCATTACAATGAACTCATAAATAATAATTCGTTTTAAAAACCAAAAAAATATCTCAAAAATGAAGAATAAAAAACTGGTATATATATGTAAGCTGATCTCCTATCATTTCTGCTTTCACTGATCAGTGAGAAGTTCGCCTCTGTATATGCAGATGCCACATCATGATCTTAGAACAGTCGGAAGGGATGGCTCTGATCTTACTCTCATCCTCCAGAACTGCCTGATGGACGAACCTGATTGAATCCTGAAATCATGATCAGATTAAACTTTAGAAAATAAAAATAAAAGAAAAAGCTTGCTTGATGAGTATGATTGAAAAAAGAAAAGGATTTGGTAGTGGGTGAGGAGAAACTCTTAATGCACTGGCCACCACGCAAAGTGACACCCCACTAAGCACCTACTGCTTTATATAAAAAAAAAAATCAGTAACTGTAGAGAAATTAGTTGATTGGATTCTTTTTCTTGCGATCAAAGGAAGTTTTTTTCTGAACATGTTCTTGTTAATAGAAAATATTAGCTGCTGAGTTGTCTGAAAAACCTATAGCTTACATCAATAATCTATATAGGAAAAGACACACCAACTTCTACCAAGAAGAGCTGGGCAATGATGCAATGCAAGTCTTCTTATTATATTTAGTAGGTGGATCATCTTAATTTAATTGTACAAATTAAAGAAAAAGTCTTTGCGCCTAAGAAATTAAGGCATATTAATTAGTATTAGCATGAGTGTCTTAATTTGTTGTTTGTGTTTGATAGAATAGTGGGTTTCTTTTTAAGAAAATTATACCTTAAATGGTTTGGACATTTAGTAGAGTATGCACTGAAAAGAGTAGTAGAATAAATTATTGTTGAGAATTAGCAAGAAAAACATAAATAGAAATGCGTTTAAAAATTATTAAAAATATTTTTTATACATCAAGCAACACTTAGTATAGTACAGACACAAATAAGATAATATAAGAATGATATGATGATGATGCATCACCCCTAATAAATTTGATGGGATGTTTTAATAAATTTTAGTCATAATCAATCAATTGTATCAAATAATGATGCCTACAAATGAATACATGAAACATCTTCATAGAAATATACCATGAAACATTGATATTATGCCTAGTAAGATCATCTACAACCGAACAACAAATAAGTATTTGTCGTCCGCCTCAAGCTCCACTTGAACGTCATTTACAATCACATTTTTGCGAGCTGAGCAGTGCGACCCCAATATTGGTGTAGCATTGTTCACAACACAAATGACGGGAGTAGAGAAAGGCGGAGGAAGGGAAAGTCGAATGGAGTTTGGTTGAGAACGAATGATTTTTTATTTTTTTTTAGAAATGGAGTCTGGTTGGAGATAAGTTACTTCATTTTAAAATGTTGCTGCATTTTGAAGTAAAAAATGAGTTTTTCGGTTGGAGATGCTCTAAGCTGAAGTTTCTATGTTCTGCCAGTAAATATTTCTGTTTATGCTTTTGCAGGAGTTACCTGGGAGCTATCTGGAATGGAGGAAGGGCGTCCCCACCGCTCTGGATCCCATAGTATTGAGCTGTTAAATGCAAAAGCTGAGATATTGATCCTTGCAGGTAGTCTACTCTCTGTTGTTCCATTGCCTGATTCTGAGGTAGAAATTGGGTTTCTTGATGCTGCAGTTCCATTATTACTCAGCTCCTTTGATTCCCAGCCAACAACCTTCGAAGAACTGCAAATCGGTCCTTCCACCACAATCCTCTTCCTGCTCGCAGACACCATTGCTACTGGCCATGCCCCAAACACCCTAAAGTTTGTTTCTTTTAATATTATTAAACATAAGTTTGATAGAACATGAAGAAAAATAATTGAAGTAAAATACATAGCATGGAATCTCAGTTGTGAAAGAAGTCCAGGAATAAAACCTTTTAAACAATAAGAACCGAGGTGTCCATGAATAATCCACATTGCTAGTTGAAAGTGAGTGTTAGGTAATTCATGTTGTTTTTTTCTTATATAATATGAAGATGCGTGTGGACTCCATCAGAGACATAATTAGGGAAAAAGTTGGTGCGATTATCATTGGTTTATTCAATTAAAAATGATACCAATCAAACATAGTTGTTCACTTGTCATTATAGCTAGAAATTGAAAGATGACTTCTCCCAGTAAGCAATCTGTACTGTAAATGAACATCACATGATGATAACCTTCATTTCTCTCTCAAATTTCATTTCTAATAAAACAAAGAAGGCTTTGCAAGTTTCCAGAAATCAAACCAAACTATACCAAATCTGACAATTTCTGCTTTATTTTTATGTAATCAGTTGTTCCACTTCAAGGAATTAGAGAGGGAAAGGCGAAATCTTACTCTATTTCTCGAATGTCCTCAAAGAATTGAAGAGGATAGATGTTGAAGGCACTGGCAAAGTGCACTATTCCATTTAGCCGATGGTGTTCGACATGGTTCAAAGCTACATTTCTCTGATGGTAGGCCTCAGCGTCGGCATCAGTGAAATTCTCCTTATATGTGATGTGCCGATACATGATGCCGGTCTGCCTAAGCATCTTTGCGGTCGCCGGAGAGTCGGAATTGGACTCGATGACAATCCATAGTAGTGGTGGAGGCACCAATCTAAGCGTATTTGCCAATCTCCACAAGGAAGCAACTTTAAATTGGTCAGTTGGGTGGGTGGTTGTTATGACTATTAGCTGTTCCTTGGAGCTGAGCTCTTGCTCTGTTTCATTGCAGTCTGACCAAACGGAATTTGAAGCTTCGGGATGAAGCTCTGCAAGGAGGCTTCGGTTAAGGACTTCAGTCTTGACATCGGAAACACCGAGGTTTCGGATGTCAGCGGCGGAAGGTTGGGCGGAGAAAAGGGAGATGGTGGTGCTTGTAGGCGCGAAGCCGATGAAGAAGCCCATGACAAAGCAGAGGGAGAAGTGGATGAGGACCTTCTTCCATAGATGGATTCTCTTTTTGGGTTTGTCTGAGGAGTTCCCCATCTCCTCTTTTGTGGTGATTCTATGGAGGAAAAGCAAAGGGGAAAGGGAGGAAGGAAGATGCTTTATATGAAAGAAATGGGGTGAAGTGCTGGTGGAAAGAGCTGGGCTGGTGAAAGTTGATTCAAAAAGGGCGGGAGGTAACGGTTGGATTTGGAAAATGGGCCAATCTTTTTCTTCTCTTGAAGCTAAAGAAAGAGAGGACAGTGGTTAGCAAATTTCTGTTGGTTTGGAGAGGAACATACCATCCAGTGGCAGTGATGTCTATTTAATTCATGGGGGAAATCTGTTTGCATAGAGTGTTGTTGAGTAATTTCTCATAGAATTTATATGAGGACCTTTTTTTTAATGTAAATGAAAAAAAAAAAAAATGGGCTGGTGAAAGTTGATTCAAAAAGGGCGGGAGGTAACGGTTGGATTTGGAAAATGGGCCAATCTTTTTCTTCTCTTGAAGCTAAAGAAAGAGAGGACAGTGGTTAGCAAATTTCTGTTGGTTTGGAGAGGAACATACCATCCAGTGGCAGTGATGTCTATTTAATTCATGGGGGAAATCTGTTTGCATAGTGTTGTTGAGTAATTTCTTATAGAATTTATAGAGGACATTTTTTTAATGAAAATGAAAAAAAAAATTTAAAATTTTTTTCTTACTTCTTAGGGGTTAATTTATAAAAATTATATTTATTTAATATTCGAAATTAAATTTAAAAAAAGCTGAGTAAAGATCTATTCTAACAAATCTATGAATTAAGACAATATAATTCATGCATTAGGAATTGGTCTCAATTTTTGGAGAGATTATTACTTGCGGAATCTGGACATAAAGAACCGTTCAATTTTGTGATCGCGAACAATAACTGTAAAAGCACAGTTACTATTCACCACTGTGGTTTGCTGTTAACAGTCACAAAAACGTAATAATCTCTCCCATTTTTGATAGTGGTTAACAATTTTTGATTCAAAAAGAATTTCTCTTAAAAGAACTATCAGAAATTTCATATAAAAATCTTTATAAAATTATAAAAAATGATCCTCATGGGCTAAGGCTGTATGATTATTTATGCCCAAAATTTAGAAGTATGCATAAAAAGTTAACTATGATAGGATTGGTTGTATCATAGTGACTATACTAGGATATTTTTCATTAAACCTCAACATTTGTGCTAGCATTTACGTAGAAAAGTATAAAAAGTTATTATTCTTGTTAGGATTTTGATATCTTTGATATATTCAATTATAGTAGGTCACATGTTAACCAAGATAACTTTCCTTGGATTCTTTCTCTCTCTCTCTCTCTCTCTCTTTGGATGACAAGAAAGTGCGAAGGAACAAGGGCAAATTGAGCAAGTCATTCATAAAATAGTTATTGATTGAGAAGTTTAGTGAAAGGAAGAAATCTGTAGATCCAAAAAATAAGAAGAATCTCAACACAATCATTAACAAAATGAGTTTTTTTTTTTTTTAAATGTTTTGGTGCCTTGAGATAATAGTAAGAATGACTATATTAAATAAAGTTAGCATTCATGGATAAAACATATTTTAGTTGATTTTTACAACATACATAAGGATGGTATTATATTATAGTCATATCATTGTATTTATTTCCAAAGAGAAAGCACTCCTTAGAAGCCTTAAAAATCATGGATAAGATGTGCACATTATCTATATAAAATATTTGGCATATAATTAATGTATTTTCAATCTATTTAGGAGTGACATTAAAGGGAATATTGAATCAATTCCATTTTCTCTCTCACACACACAGGAGAGAGAGAGAGAGAGAGAGATTCAATAAATAAATTCATATCCATGTTGTTGTGTTATTTTTCTAATAAGTAGCTATCATTATTAGATTTTATCCTATATATATATATATATATATATATATTAATTATCCTAGATGTTCTTAAGTAGGGAAAAACAACAATTTAACCAAGTATTGGAACAAATTCAAATGACTAATTTCAATTCCACTAATTTTATAAAAATATATGAATAAAAATATATTTTTCTTAAGTTTTACGATATTTGACCATGTAACTTTTAATGTATTATTGTGTGCTTTATTCTAGACATTTTGATTATAAGAAATTAAATTTTCACTTGATAGTTTTTTTATACTGATTTCTATTCATATTGAACAAATGAGGCATTTCTAAATTTCATAATAATGAATTAAAAGTCTTAAAATATTGTTCTAGATATTCCTCTAAATTTTTTATTGAAATAGGAATTATTCAATGAGTAGGCCGGCTTCACTACGAAAAAAAAAAAGAAGCAATAGAGCTACTCCAAGAACTCACCAAGGCCACTGGAGGAAGCAATTGCGAAATTTCCTATAGCAATCATGTAAAACCCCTCACACTCCTCCCTCACACACAACCTCAGCTTCTACCCCTCTAAGCCTCTTTCAAGAATTCTCCCTCAGATTCCTTCAATAGCCAAAAGTCCCTTTTAAAGACTTCATTGAGTTGTTTAAGTATAAGGCTTCAAAAAAATCCTAAATTTTCAATTAGGTTATCATTGATCATACAGTATGATATGGATTCATACAGTATGATTAGTTTAAAATAGATGTTCATCCCATATGAGGGAATAGTCATTCAGATGAACTATTCATATTCTACATGCTTATCGTATAGTACGATCGTAAGTACATACAATACAATTCGTTAAATTTCACTATGTTTCGTATAGGATAATTACTGGGATGATTGAAAATCATCTCTGTCGATCATTCAATATAATTTACATCATACAATACATTCAGCTCAAACATCAAAAGTTAATACAATACAATTGACACTGTATTATACAATTAGTTCAAAAATCAATATTTTCATCCAGTACAATCTCTTGGGCGATCGAATTTTTTCTTTGTCAATCGTATAGTTTGATCTTGATCATAGTGCTATTAGCCATATTTATTAAACCTTGATTTAATTGACTAATCATGAGAAATAATTTAAGTAAGATTTCAAATATTATATTGTACGATTACATTCATATAATATGATTAATTCAAAATATAATTTTAAAAATACTTAAATTATTCTACGACTAAAGTTTGCCTGATGGAAATAAATCGTACAATATGATCTACATTGTACATTACAATCTACATCAAATAGTATGATTAGATCATTAACATTAATAATCTAATTAACTGTTAATTAACTCCCTATTTTATATAATTGATCATACAGTATGATCATAATCATACGATATGATTAGTTTAAAAAAATTTCATCTAAATTGTCCCCACTTCCTTTTGTGTGTGCACGGTCACCATAATTAATACTCCCCGGTGCAGTAGAATACCGTCATCCTTTCACACCCTCCAAGTATCGGCAGAGTACTGTCATCCTTTCACACCCTCAAAGTGTCGACATAGTACCATCATCCTTTCATACCCTTTAAGTGTTGGCAGAATATCGTCATCCTTTCACACCCTCCAAGTGTTGGTAAACTACTGTCGTTCTTTCAAACCCTCAAAGTGTCGATAGAGTACCATCATCCTTTCACACCCTCTAAGTATCACCAGAGTACTATTATCCTTTCACACCCTCTAAGTGTTGGCAGAGTATCAGATCCTTTCACAAGATCTTCTCTCGAGCAACTAAAAAGAAGAAAGGAAGAGAATTGAACCAAAACCATAAGAGATTCTTATGTTGTTTGAGTAAACATGTGAAACCTTCACACTCCACTTACAAGAAATCTATCTCAAAAACTCTCCCAATTCACTCTTACACTTGCTCTAAAAGAAATTACAAAGAGGATTACAAACAAATCAATTTCAAAGGACTTTAAATATAAATGACAAGAAAAATCATCTAGAAAATTAAAATGTTTAATTTTTGTCATGCGCGGTCGTACAGTACGATCAATTTTCGTACGTACTAATAGTACAAAATTTGCTCGTATAAACTTATATGAAATATTTTCATCCAGGCATATCTTATATTACGAATGCATTTCGTATAGTATAAACCGTTTAGAAAAATTTTCATATCGTCGGGACAAAAAGAAACCCTAAATTTTTGTTCTATGTGGGTCATCTGTATGATGATGATATCGTACAGTACAAACTGAACAAATTTTTTCTAAGTTCGTCTGGATGAAAAGACGACCCCAATTTTTCATACTCTTTGAGCCATCTGTACGATACAAATATTGTACAATATGATTAGTTTAAAAATTTTAAAGGATTGTCTGGACGAACTTGAACATATCTATTTCGTACACTGGACATCTATATGAAAGGAAATTTCATAAAGTACGAACTGTACTTAGAAAATTTTTCTCCCAAAAATTTGACTACCTGCTTTCTGGAGGCATACCAGATCAAATCATCCAGTACGATATAAAATCGTACAGTACGATTAATTTAAAAAATTTAATTTAATATACTCCCTTAGTGTGTGTGTGTGTGTGTGTGTGTGTATGGTTACTAAATTATATGCACACTCTCTTAGACTCAATAAAAGGGAAAAAAAATAGACTCCATTTATAATAATCCTAATCTATTCTACCTTGAAGTCTTTAACAGTATGGAGCACGATTTTTCTGAAATATTAGTGCACACAAACAACAAAAGCACTCCAATATATGTTAAGAGAATCAATAAGAAAATAATAATATTTGAAATAATCAAAAATACATGTCACATGAAAAAATAGTTATGAAAACTAGGTTGCAACAGTGTCTACATATACTATGAGGTAGGGGTGTCAATATTGGACACAACCCGAAAACCCGACTCGAACCTGACACAGAAATTTTGGGTTCGGGTCAACCCGAACCTGAACCGGGTCGGATTCAGGTTAGAGATTTCAACCCGTTTGTAAAATCGGGTCGGGTTCAGGTTGACCCAGAAACCCGGAATCAACCCGGTTTGACCCGAGTTAGCATCATTCAAGTCCGCGCGCATCCGCCGCGTTGTCCGCCAGGTTTTGCGTCCGCGGTATCGTGGATGTTGCGTCCACAGTTTGCCGTCCACGTCAAGTGGATTGAGGCTCAAGT